AGCCGCTGTTGAAACTGATCAGTTTCAGCAGCGGCTGAATCTGGACGCCAGTTCCGACTTACATACAGATTCAACTGAAGAACAAACCTACAGTCCCTATCTTGTACATAACCCGGGGACTGCCTGTATCAGTCAACTGAATAGTAAGAATGTAAGAACAGAAGAACGGCCATACTGGGTTAGACCAAAGATCCATCCAGCCCAGTATCCTGTCTGCTAACAGTGGCCAATGCCAGGTGCCCCAGAGGGAGTGAACTGAACAGGTAATGATTAAGCAATCTCTCTCCTGCCATCCATCTCCACCCTGACAAACAGAGGCCAGGGACACCATTCCTTACCCATACTGGCTAATAGCTATTTATGGATTTAACCTCCATGAATTTATCTAGATCTCTTTTAAACCCTGTTATAGTCCTGGCCTTCACAACCTCCTCAGGCAAGGACTTCCCACAGACTGACTATGCGCTGTGTGAAGAAGAACTTCATTTCATTTGTTTTAAACCTGCTGCCCATTAGTTTCATTTGGTGGCCCCTAGTTCTCATATTATGGGAACAAGTAAATAACTTTTTCTTATTCACATTCTCCACACCACTCATGATTTTATAGACCGCTATCATATCCCCCCTTAGTCTTCTCTTTTCCAAAATGAAAAATCCCAGTCTCTTTAATCTCTCCTTATATGGGACCCGTTCCAAACCCCTATCATTTTAGTTGCCCTTCTCTGAACCTTTTCTAATGCCACTATATCTTTTTTGAGATGAGGAGACCACATCTGCACGCGGTATTCAAGATGTGGGTATACCATGGATTTATATAAGGGCAATAAGATACTCTCCGTCTTATTTTCTATCCCTTTTTTAATGATGCCTAACATCCTGTTTGCTTTTTTGACTGCCGCTGCACATTGCGTGGACGTCTTCAGAGAACTATCCACAATGACTCCAAGATCTCTTTCCTGATTAGTTGTAGCTAAATTAGCCCCCATCATATTATATGTATAGTTGGGGTTATTTTTCCCAATGTGCATTTATCCACATTATATTTCATTTGCCATTTTGTTGCCCAGTCACTTAGTTTTGAGAGATCTTTTTGAAGTTCTTCACAGCCTGCTTTGGTCTTAACTACCTTGAGCAGTTTAGTGTCGTCTGCAAACTTTGCCACCTCACTGTTCACCCCTTTCTCCAGATCATTTATGGAAACGTTGAATAGGATTGGTCCTAGGACTGACCCTTGGGGAACACCACCAGTTACCCCTCTCCATTCTGAAAATGTACCATTTATTCCTACCCTGTGTTTCCTGTCTTTTAACCAGTTCTCAGTTCATGAAAGGATCTTCCCTCTTATCCCATGATAACTTAATTTACGTAAGAGTCTTTGGTGAGGGACCTTGTCAAAGGCTTTCTGGAAATCTGAATACAAACAGTGAATCTGGTAAGTCTTGTTACTACTGCTCTGCTGCTGTTTGGAGTAGGAGCAGAACTTAGATTCCACAGAAGCAGTATAGTGGATACAGACCACCCTCCCCCTCCTCCAGTATCTCAATAGGCAAGGTCTAGTTTTTCCAAGTCCTGGGTATATTATACCAAATCCAGGTCCATACACACTGTCCTATTAAATTTAAACATATCCAGACACAGGCAAAACCCAATTACTCACCTTTGATGTTTATTCCAATTTACATTTGAGCGCATCTCAAGCATACAGTTGCTAGAAATTTTTCCCTTGGTGGTATCCATTGGGTCAATTCTAGCCCCCTCTGGTATCGTACACTCACAGAACCAGCATGCAGCCCTGCCAACCTTACCCTCCTTCAGTTTCTTATTCACCATCTCCTAGGAGGGCAGAGGGTGGGTTTTGGAATGGACATGTGCAACATATCAAGAACAGTTACAGAAAAGTTACTAACCATTTTTATTCTTCAAGTGCTTGCATATGATCATTCCAGTGTACTTGACTCACAACTAGCTGCCACAGAGGTGGGTTCAAAAAAATCAAGGACAGGCTGACTTAGGAATGTTACATTTAGGTCATTTTAGTAATGAGCAGTCGATAGAATTTTTTTATCCACTACTCGATAGGGGAAGGCAAAGCCGCTCAAACCCGGCTCGTGCCGGAACCTAACCCCACTGCAGCACTGCAATTTAAAAGGCACCTGCCCCCAGCTCCTACTGCGTTTTCAACTGCAGAGCTGGAGTGGAGTTTGGTCCCTGCGCAAGCCAGGACTGAGGGGGGCTGCCTGCCCAGCTGGTAGCATCCCCTGTCCACGGGGGGTCCCAGCGGGAAGTTGGGATCCCCAAGGTCGGGGCTGCTGCTGGAGCAGTCTCCCCTCCTCCATCCCAGTTATATTTGAAGACAGTACTGGGGGGAACTGGCTTTTAAACCAGCTCCCCCCAGCACTAGCTCTTCACCTTGCTGCCTCTGATAGAGAAGTAGGGGAATGCAAGTAGTCCACTCTACTAGCTGATAAGCTTAAGCTTACTGGGTAGTTGATTCATCAACTACTCTCTTACCTCCCTAGGTTGACTGTAATACAGCCCAGCCCAGCCAAAACTGATGTAGCCTATGGCCTGCTGTGTAATGGCGTATCACATGGTGAATGTATGAATCAATGACCAGGCTGTCACCCTGCAGATCTCCTGTATTGGAACCTGTGCAAAAAAGCTGTGGAAGAAGCTTGAGGAATTGCCATCAACTAGTCAATAAGATTCTCAATGCTCAAATATGGAAACCTTTCAGCTATTGCTAGAAACAGCTGAGTGGATCTGTAGAATGGTTTGGTATTCTGTACGTAGAAGACCAGGGCACACCAGACATCTGATCAGAGGTTTGGTTCCTCCCCATTCATGCAGTTTAGGGTAGAACACTGGCAGAAAAATTGCATGTCTGCAATACAACCGATACAACTTTTGGGAAGAATGACAAATGGCACAGCTGGGCCTTGTCTCTCAAAAAGACCACATATGGGGATTCTGAAGTGAGAGCTTGGATCATCGGAAATCCTTCAGGCCAAGGTATGGTCACCAGGAAGGCTACCTTGCAAGAGAGGTGTAACAGCAGGCAAATTTCCAGTGGTCCAATGTGGCCTGGGCTCAGCCCCACTTGATCTTCATCAGAACCTTGTGGATCAGCGAGACAGGTAGAAAAACATACTGCCTGTATTTAACATCCCTAATGCTAACTGACTTTAAATGTGGGGTTCTCAGCTCGAGACCACTAACAAGGGGGCCTGATGTTCTCAAGTGCTGCCTACCTGATCCTTGAGAATCAAAAACCCTTTGCAGTTTCAAGTTGCAAACACAATATTATTAGTTACTCTTGAAAACTTAAGCCTGGTTCCTTATAAACTGATGCAAATGTGGTAATTTTTGTTAATTTGAACTTAGAATTGAGTTGGATCAGTTTTGTGAAAATTTTCCAACAACAAGTACTTGAGGCACACACATCCCTGTACTGAAATGGTTACATGCAAGCACTCAAGAAGGTGGTCAAATTTTAATGCCATGAGATGCAATTACAGTTATCTGGTCAGAATTCTGGCTAAAAGCAGGTCAGAGAATTTCACCAAGTGATTCCCGCATCATGCCCATAACTAGAGATGTGAACGACTAGTCGACAGGCTAGTCAACCACTCGCTTCCCCCACCCTTGTTGCCTCCATCAGAAAGAGGCAGCGGGGGGAGGGGAAGGGTACTTCAAAGCAGCAGCACCTCGTGGAACCTGGGGTCAGTGGGGGAGTCCACAGCTGACCCCGGGCTCCATGTGGCACTGCCCCTTTGAAATACCATGGGGACTGCTCCCCACAGAGCTTTTGCTACCCTTCAGAGGTGGACGCACCCTTATGGACTAATCGAATAGTCATGCAAAGTGCATCAACTATAATTAGCCAAATAATCAAAATGTTACATCCCTATTCATAACCTCTTGTTGAGCTACATATAGCTCATTTAGAAAGATATCCATCAATCCCAATCCATAATATGCTAAATGGGAATAAAAATATCATTGAAGTTTAGTTTCCTTACTTCTTATTGACTTCATCAATTTCTGCTCTCAGCTTTCCTATTTCAATCTGTAGTTTGGCCCTCTCCCTGGCTGTCTCATCCAGAACTCTTCGGGTGTCAGCCAGCTCAGACTCATAGAGCGTTTTGATTCCACTCACCTAAGACAGGGAAAGAAATAGACACAATGATTGTCCTGAAGACTGAATTTCAAAGAGAGTAAAAATCTCTATTTATGAAAGTCACTAATGGGTTTCTTGATACTTGTTTGAAGACAAGATACAGATACACCATGAACAAAAAGCATGGAACTATTGTTTAGAAGGGATTCATTTAAAGATTTATTTAAAGAACAAAAATAATAAAATGAACACTCTCAGGCTTGCAGCACCCCAAGTCTAAGAACCAAACCGAAGTGGATTAAGCCCAAAGATCAGACAGTATCTATTCCCACATACACTGTTGTTACTTGAGGTACTTATCCCTTCCCCCCCTACCGATCAAGGCAGCAGCAAAGACCCCTTTACCCCCTGCCAAAAAAAGCAAATACTGTACATTGCCTGTATTGCATCTTAAAAGGTAGGCAGATATGGGATGCCTGTCCCTGCCCCCACATGCAGGACACCCTGAGCCCACGCTGCCAGTCCAAGAACAGCACTGCAGTCTATGCTGCTTTCCTGTAAGCCATGGGTGTTCTCTCTCTCACACTCACACACACGCCCAGCCCAGCCCAGCCCAGCAAAGAAGCTGCCTGCAAGTGCTCTGGGCTAGGTTCCAGACGCAGCTAGACAAAATGCTGGAGATGCATTTTGTTCAGTTACAAACTGTTACACTACACCCCATATTCATAGAAATGTTATAATATGAATATGGCAGTCGTCGTCACTGGATTGGTTATGTTTTACTAAACATGAATATCCAATTTGTATGTATGCATCATTTCTAGATCTGAAAACAGGATACTTATCACAGCTGTGGTTTGCATCTGGGAAATGCCCACCGGACAAAATGCAATCAGCCTGGAGGGGCCATTAGGGAAGATAATAGGACTGAAGATGCTAACCTCCCAACTTCCTGAAATGCTGCTTTGACACCAGTGTCAGATAATGATGTCACCTGGTACGGAACGCCAGCTTGAACTGCTGGTGTTTTTCCACTAGGAGGCAGTAGGATCTAACTGGGAAACAAAGGATTCCTGCCGTATTCCCTTAAGGTTGGGGAGTGAAATAATCAAGGCTGGTTTTCTCTTTACAGAATCCCCACCCAAAATGACTGCTGGAAACATCTAACACTGAACTGAGCAAAGGACTGGACCCAGGCTCGAAAAAGATCTCATTTAGGGTGAGAAAATTACTACTTGTAGCCAGTCTCAATAGTGTATTCATATGCATGTTTATTATTAGTCCTTAGAGTCTCTTAAAATCTATCTTTTGTAGATGTTTTGTTTTCTAAAACCCAGATCGTGCAATTCATAATGGGGGAGAAGGGGGCAAAAAGCTCTGAAAGCTGTGCATTATCTTCCTCCATGCTGAGGAAGAAAGCAAATTCCATGAGCTTACAGTTTTCAGTGCCATCCAAGATAACACAATTTTGGGCATGCACCCAGAGGTGGTGTACAACTGAATTCTGGGCAACCCCCCAAGTTAAGTCTTCCCACACAGAGCTGAAGTCAGGGTCTGTGTTCTTTTGCAGCTGGACATGACTCCACCTGTATGTGTGCTGGAAAAGGCTTAAGGGCTGGCGCAGCAAGGACACACTTGAGGGCACTAAGGCTGGTGGAATAGGGGGTTCGGTGGGATCCTTGCACATCAGGTGCCATCCCAGAAAGAGGGGCAATCCATCACACAAATACTGCTGAGTAATTAACCATTCCCAAGATGCCCGTAAACTAAGATTATATTGCATATTCTTTTTTGAGATAGTGATCAGAATCACATGCAATATTCAAGATGTGGGCATTCCATGGATTTATATAGGGGCTAGGGATGTAACAGTTTAACTGGTTAACCAATAAACTAATGCTTATCAGTTCTGGTTATCGGTTAAACTCCCACGGTGCTGGCACTGGCCGGCAAACCACAAGGCAAAAATATACTGGCATTTAACTGTGTAACTGATTACATTTTAATTGGTGGTAGAGATGTAGCCGTGTTAGTCTGGGGTAGCTGAAGCAAAATGCAGGACAATGTAGCACTTTAAAGACTAACAAGATGGTTTATTAGATGATGAGCTTTCGTGGGCCAGACCCACTTCCTCAGATCAAATAGTGGAAGAAAGTAGTCACAACCATATATACCAAAGGATACAATTAAAAAAAATGAACACATATAAAAAGGACAAATCAAATTTTAGAACAGAAGGGGGATGCGGGGGAGGGGGAAGGTAAATGTCTGTGAGCTAATGTGTCCTTTTCATGTGTGTTCATTTTTTTTTAAATTGTATCCTTTGGTATATATGGTTGTGACTGTTTTCTTCCATTATTTGATCTGAGGAAGTGGGTCTGGCCCACGAAAGCTCATCATCTAATAAACCATCTTGTTAGTCTTTAAAGTGCTACATTGTCCTGCATTTTAATTGGTTACACACATTTTTCCTAACCCTTTTTACATCCTTAATAGTGGCATTATGATATTTTGTCTTATCCATCTCTTTCCTAATGGTTCCTAACATAGGTGCCAACTCCATGGGTGCTCCAGGCCAGCTAATTCAGATCCCCTCATTTTGCATGTGTGTTTTAAGATGTGCATTACTTTACATTTATGAACACTGAATTTTATGTCATTTTGTTGCCGGCTCACCCAGTTTTGAGAGATCCCCTTTGTAACTCCAGTCTGCTTTTGACTTAACTATTTTGAGTAGTTTTGTATCATCTTGAAAATTTTTCCACTTCTCTACTTACCCCCTTTTCCATATTCCTCTCTCTCTCCACACTGAAAACTGACCATTTATTCCTACCCTTTGGATCTCATCATTTAACTAGCTGCTGAGCCAGAGGACCTTCTCTCTTATGCTTTGCCATCTTAGTTTCCTCAACAGCCTTTGGTGAGGGACTGTGTCAAAAGCTTTCTAAAAGTCCAAGTACATTATATCCACTGCATCACCTTTGTGATGACCCTCTGAAAAAATTCTCATAGGTTAGTGAGGTACGATTTACCTTTGCAAAAAGACATGGTGACTCTTCTCCAATAAAACACGTTAGTCTATGTGTTTGAGATTTCTATATTTGATTATCGTTTCAAACAATTTTTTTGGTACTAAATGTAGGTTTACCAGTATGTCATTGCCAGGATTACCTCTGGCACTTTGTCTTCTGGTACAGAAACTGGATTTAAGTGGTAAGTTAAATACCTCACTTAGTAATTACCCAATTTTATATTTCAGTTCCTTCAGAACGCTTAGACAAATACCATCTGGTCCTACTGACTTATTACTCAATTTATTTACTCCAATATCATCTCTACTGGCACCTCACCCTAGTACAGTTACTCAGATTTTATACCTAAAAAGAATGGCTCGGGTTTGGTAATCGCCCTCATTCTCTGCAGTAAAGATCAATGCAAAAAATTCTTTTAGATTCCCGTGTGTTCCTTTAGTGCTCCTTTACCACATTGATGGTCAAAGGCTCTGCGTTTGACTAATTTTTTCCCCTGTAAATTTAAATCTTCTATTAGCGGCTCTTCAGATTCTCTTTTGGTTTACCTAATTGTACTTTTACACTTGACTTGCCAAAGGTTATACTCCTTTATAGTTTCCTCACATGTTCAGGATTTAACTGGCCACAATACTTGAGTGTTAGGAAGGAATTTTCCCCTGGGTCAGATTGGCAGAGACTGTAGTGGGTTTTCACCATCCTCTGCAGCATAGGTCACTTGCAGGTTTTATCTAATGTAAATGGTGGATTCTCTGCAACTTAAGGCCTTTAAGTCATGATTTGAGGACTTCAATAAACCTGCCCATAGCCAGAGCCTCAAGGTGGAAACTGGGGGGAAGGAGACACTAAAGCCTGCCTCTGAAGCTGGGGAGAGGCTGAATTATGTGGTTGGAGCCCCTGAGCACTGCAGGGAGGGACCATTGCTTTGCCAGTGACACCCAGGAGGCTGGCAGGGCTTCAGGAAAGCCTACTGATGGCCACATGGTTAGTCCGTTCTGATATTAAAAATCTGAGTCCTCAGTGGGATTCAATAGGAGTCTTTCTGCCTTTTCTTCCTTTACTTTGTATGGAGGTGGCGGCACCAGGGCCGACTTATCCATTAGGCACAGTGCCTAGGGCCCATGATATTTTTAGGGGCCCACAAAAATATTTTAATTTCTTTTAAAATCAGAAGAAAAAATGAACTTTTAGGGTCGAAGAAAATGTTTTAATTTTTTTCTCACGTCAGAAAAAAATGAAACTTCTAGGGCCCATGAAAATCTATTAAATTTTGCCTAAATCAGAAAAAAAAATGTTGAAGTATTTAAAGTTATATAAAAAAAATATTAAAAATAATTTTTATGGAGGAAGGGGCCCACGAAGGCAAAAGTGCCTAGGGCCCACGAAAGTCATAATGCAGCCCTGGATGGCACCTTTTGGGTCCTCATGCTTTTCTTTAAATTTGGTATATACATTTAACGTGAGCCTCTACTAACTATGGTAAGAAGATTTCATGAGGCTTACAGGCATAACTTCCATTTAACTAGCTTCTTCATTTTTGTGCAGCTCCCCTTTCTGAAGTTTAATGCTAGTGTGGTGGGCTACTTTGGTAATTTTACTTACACAGAGATTTACATTTAAATATATTATGGTCTCAATTACTTTGTGGGTCAGTTGCTTTCACCCATTGGACCAGGATTCTGTGAACCATTTAGGACTAAATCAAGAATTCTGTCCCTGAAAGGTTCCAGGACTAGTTGCTCCGAAGCTACATCATTAATGGTGTCTGAAAATTTTCTCTCTGCATCCAATCCTGAGAATGGGGAATTTCAGATGAGTTTTCTATTTTTATAGTCTCTAATTTTCCACAATCACCATCCTGCTCAAGTGGCCAACAGTATATTCAGACTTCAAACATGGATCTTCTAATCATATCTGGATTGTATGACAGTTTGATTTTTACTGCATTTGACTATGCTTTCTTTCAAAACCTAGTCTATCATTCCTATATAATTTTGTATCCCGAGATTATTGTGTCA